CCGTTCAGTCAGTTGAGAGGCTTAGGATTTTATTTTTATTACTCAGTCCAAACAATTGTGGGTAGAAAAAAAAAACTCAACAACTTTTGGGGTCTTATTTTACCTGATTTTAGGTCTTACTTAGCTACAGTAAGCCAGACATGAAATCTTGGCACAAATCTAAACATACAGAAAAATAAAACAGAATAGAATCCAGAAATTGACCCACACGTTTATGATTAGTTGGTTTTTGCTTATTTTTAAAATATTTAAAGCACTTTTTATTTATTTTCTGCAGCTATAAGTAAAACCTCGATGACATCAATAATCCTGAGTTTCTTCTCCCTACTCGCTAATGAAGTCTTCAGTTTTCTCACCTTGTTCAGCCACTTCAAGTCTCCTCCTTCCAGATATTTCCTGATGCTCCTAAAGAGAATCTCCCACCTGCTTAGGAGTGATCTATGAACCATAGACTCTCTCTCTCTGCTGCAGCTGTACTTTCAGTCCACTGTCCTACCATTAACCCCATTGGTGCTGTGTGACAATGCCCATGTTCATTTGCAGTGTCATCTTCTATCTCTAATATTGCTGTCAATTGTCAGGGTGTTGGGGAGACCAGGTTCCACATAGCAATGGGGATACTGGCATTCTTCTCCACCCAATGTCTCCAGGCCTCAAAGCAGCACCTTTTTTTTTGTCCAGAGTCTCACAAAGTCTCTAAAAAGGCAAGCTTCTTCAACTGCTATTCTGACCCTACTTTTCAGTGAACTCAAGACCAGCTTAAGAGACGGGGTGGGAACAGATAACCATCTCTCCTCCACACAACACACCAGTCTTTCCATACTCTCTCAGGGACATGGGCACTGAAACACTCAAATAAATGTACGACCACTCCCAACTCTCATCCTCTTCTTTAAATAGCTCTTAAAACAAAACATTCCTTCCATGCCTATCAACTCAAGCCAAACCAGCACTAGAAATAACAGTTATCATTATTAACATTATTGAGTATTTCTTAATAATAGTTATCCCAGCCTACTAGTTCTGAGTACCAACTGGCAATTTGGGGGCTTAAATGGAACTCTCTGCTTATCATTTTACAGTCATGAAAACTGAGACAGGAAGTGATTTTATCTGTGGTCATGTAACAAGGAAGTGGTTAGTGGATTCAGATACTGTGACCTTGAGGTCATCGTCATACAAGCTCAAATAATTAGATGATTCAGTGTTCACCCATTTAGCCAAAGGAGAAATCACTTCAGGAAGGCAGATGTCAGTCTGTCCTGGTATTTGAAGAAAGCAAATTATTAGTTTAGTCAGAGTGATCACTCCATGGCCCTCAATAAATCCTGTGTTAGAAGTGTCCCAAGGTCTCTAGAGAGTATTTTTTTACTAGTAATTTTGTGGCTTTGAGGTAAGATTTTAGCAAGAGATTCTGTCATGGAACACTGGGGAGACTTCTCAAAAGAGATTTCTGGGAAGTCGCTGGGAAGGTTAATGAAAATATATGTATTTAGTTTTGGCAAAGGATCCTGCTGTGTGCAGTAGGGGGTATGCAATCCATCAAATCAAAACATAATCAAAGGCATAACGTGAAGAAATATAATTATAACTTATACTTACTCTTAGAGTCCAGACCTCACCCTTACGACCTCCCACTTCAAATTCAAATTCAAGTGAAAGCAAATCTGCTGTATTTCAGACAAAACAGTGTTGGATTTATGAGTGAGAAAGTTGATGGGGGGTGTGGGGTAGGGGTGGGCCTCTTGGGAAGACTTAATTGTAGGACTGAAGGACTCCACTGGGTAAACCACTCGAAGCGTTATGGAATCCAGAACCAGGCCCTGTTAGCAGAGTGGTCTGACTGATTTCCAGAAACACAGTAATCCATCAGGGGAGAAAAGGTTGTTCTGCTCACTGAGGCTGCACTCTTCATCGATGAAAATCAATAGCATTCCCACATATTTGGAGATAGATGACACTTTTATTCTTTCTCCTTTAACACATACTGTACTCTTAAGAGAGCAAACCTCTGGGGACTGAGTCTCGGGAGGGTGCTTCTGGCCTGGATTATCACCTTGACCTTCAGGGAAGGATGCTAGGACTACGAGAGGGCTGGTGTTTCTCAGCCCAGGAGCCAGGCACAAAGCAATCAAGCTCTCAGAAATGAGCTGCAGGGACACGAGAAAGCAGCTGTGGCAGTGAGCGAGAACTGGCCCCACCACGGTCATGCATGAGGGTGCCTGGGAGGACAGATGCTGGGCTCCACACGGAGTTGTCATAAAACCTGGGACAAGGGAAGCAAGCTTTCTGGACCCTGCTTGCTTCATCCACAATCTCTAAGATGATTCTGACACCAACGTCTGGCAGCCAAAGATGCATATCCCATGTCCTGTGAAGGTAAAGGGGCCATCCGAGTGTCACCAAGGGTCCAGGGTAGAGAATTGTGTCCTGTGAACCGTGAGAGCTAGGAATCATGGGATCTGGACTGAAGAGGTCAGAGAGGGGCCCTGAACCTGCCAGCTGCAGCTCTGCCTCCGTGACGTGGGCATTCGGCACACGACAGTCCTACTGTCGGGTAGTCGGTCAGAGTGGAGGCAGCCGCAGTGGTCAGAGAGCAGAGGCCGGGGCAGCTTCTGGCTTGTTCTGTTGCCTCCACAAGTGGAGAAGGCAAAGCTAAAGACCCCCACAGGTAGGTCCTAGAGTCCCTTCTTTGTGGTCTCTTTCTAAGATGGACTTTTCTGGCATGCATTGACTATGCCCTTTTGATTTTCCCATCATTTTTATTTGACTGGCGTAGCAGCTATTTCCACTATGACTTTTCCAGAAATAACCAAGATGACATTAGAGAGGCTGTGATCACTAAGAAAATTTTAAAATAAAGAGTTTCCCAAGTCAATCCCTCCTCCCTGTCCAAACTTCTCACTCAATACACACACACACACACAGACACACACACACTCACACTCCAAAAACCCATACACAGTATTTATCAATCAGTAAGGACAGGCAAAATCTCCCAGAAGCCAATCTTATTAGAGGGGACTGTCACCTATATTCCTTATACCCAAGTTCTTCTCCTTTGCCAAGTGTTGCTTCCATAAATTTTAAACATGGCACCAGGATGTCACCTTGGAGTTTTAAGGAGCCAGATGGATTGAAACAGGGCTATGAAAAAAAAAAAAGAGAGAGAAGGATCAAATGAGATGCCGAGGAAATCTCTGACCCATGCAGCCCCCATAGGCTAGGCTGCAATTTCCCTTCAAAAGTGCACAACACTAATTGCCTCCCCCCAACGTCATTTTCTAAGCAGCAAATTAAGAAGCTTAAGAAGTAATAACCCTCAGTCACTGTGGATTAGAAGATGAGCAACGTTGTAGTGCGAGATTCAGAGGGATGTGACACAGAGCTGAACGCAAGCGCCAGCCAGGCTGAGCTGATGCTTCCCTCAGTGACAGCAGCCCCTCCTCCGCTGGAACTGACAGGGAGCGAGCCGGGGCTTTATGTCAGCCTCACTGAGGAGGAGATTGCTGTAAGCCAGAGGATTTTCCAGGCAGCCCAATCGATGCCACTTGAAACGCACCAGGGGCTGCTCCTGAAGATATCGCCACTTTGCAGATTTAGGTCAACTCCATTTAAATGGGAAGTTTGGGATTTTGCCTGTGGATCCTAAAAATGTCAATCAAATTCTCAGAAAATCCTAACTCTGATGCAATGTAGTAGATGGAGATAGAGAAGTTCTGCAAAGACAATGTCGAGCAAATTCCTTTGTGCCTTTGGGATCTTCCTTTCCTGGATTTCCTTAACTGTGGTCATAATAATAATAATAAGGCCACCATTTAGTGAACATTCGGTTTGTGGTAGGTTCTGTTTGGGCCTCACATTTACTTTTCTAATCTTTGCAGTTACTCTATGTAGTAAGCACTATGGTTATGCCCATTTTACAGATGGGAAAACTAAGGTATAGAGCAGTTAATAACCCTTCTTCCCGAGGGTTCACTGCTACTGAGAGAGACGGAAGAGATTCAACTGGTGCCTGAGCCTTGACCACAATGTGTGCTTTTATATTTACACCTTTGATCTTCCAGTCTTTTCATCCACTCCTGTAGAACCAAGTTGCTCTCTAGGTGAGTGCACACCCAGATCTCTAGGACTCCCTTCCGCCTTCGTAAGCCTCCATTCTCTGTGCTCTGTCTGCTGTCCAGGGTGAACTGAAACTCACCCATCTATAGCCAGATAATGCTTTTTCCCCATCTTTGCCACTTCCCATCTTTGCCATTTTTACTTTGTTATTTTTTGAATGAGACTATACGATTAACTTATCAGCACATACCTACTGTTATTTTTTGCTCATTGTCTATGGCTGCTTTTGAGCTCCAACAGCAGAGTTGAGTAGTTGCAACAGAAACCATATTGCCAGCCAAGCCTATAATTACTATCCGGCCCTTTACAGAAGAAGTTTGTTGATGTCTGATCTAACTCGTATTTTTCTACCCTGTCTTATCTACCTAAACAAACTGGTGTCCTTGCCCTTCCTCAGATACTTTTCTACCTTAGAAATTTTGTTTCTCTCCTTCTTTGGCTTAGCTTAGGGGTTGGCAAACTCTCTGGAGGTCCAGATGAGAAATAAACTGGAACTCTCCTGCTTGGCTAAGTGTAGTATGTTGGTACAAATACTTTGAGTACTTCTCAGCAATACCCATTGCAGCTGAACATTACATTAATGTACTTTACGTAACAGACATTACACCTTTAGGTGTATACCCAACAGAAATTCTTATTTATGTGCACCAAAAGATAAGTACACAATGTTCATTAGAGCATTACTCATAATAACCAGAAATCTGAAAAGACGTAAGAGGCCATAAATAATATAATTGTAAGTGTATTCAGGTACGTTTATTTAAAGAATACCGTAAATAATACCACAATGAAAAAGAACAAACTACTGTTTTACACAACAGCTTGTGTAAACCTCACATACAGAATATCAAACAAAAGAAACCAGACACAAAAGAGTATACACTGTACGATTCCATTTATCATAAAGTTCAAAATCATGTGAATCTGTGATGTTAGCAGTCAGGCTCATGGTACCACATCTTGGGTTCCCCAGGAAGCAGAGATTTGTGTGCCGGAGGTTTATTGGGTTGTGATCTGAGGGTCAACACCTGTAAAGAAATGTGAGAAGTCACAAGCAGGGCCTCAGCTAACCCAACAGGGAGCTCTGGAGCTGCAATGGCTCTTCAGAGTTGTGCTGATTGGAGTGAGGGGACCAGGTTTTTACATTGCAGTCACTTACATGCAACCAGTCATTGACTAGGAGACACCCCCAGGGATGGTGCAAGACCATGGGTAAGGCTCTCTTCACCCAGGGGAAGTCCTGGAGGCAACTGGGCTAAGAGCTGTTGGCCACCAGCACTCCTAGTAGCTAGGGGCAATGAATGAGTAGCTTCAGCCCTGGAGGGGTTGGGGGGTACACCACAGCATCCACTGCTTGGGGTTACCTCTCAGCAAGGGTAGTGACTAGAAGGGGACAGCAAGGTAGGGGCTTCTAGGGGTCTGGTGCTGTCCCATTTATCCACACGGTGATTATAGAGGCATGTTCATTTTGTAAACATTTATGTTCATGATTTTTGCACTTTTCCTTATTATTTTCTATGTCCATAAAGAAGCTTATTTAACAATAAAAGAAAGGAGTGATCTGTCAAAAGCTGCTGAGAAGTCAAGAAGAATGAGGACTGTGAAATGTTCCTTGGGTTGCATAGCAGGCGGGTCCCTGGCAACGCTAATGCCGGCTGTACTCTGGGTGGCAGTCAGGTTGGAAGGAGTTATGGAGTAAGTGAGAAGGGAGGAAAGGGAGAGAGTTTGATGACTCTTTTGAGATGTTAGCCTGAGAACGGTGGCAGTCAGAACGCAACCCTGGTGAGGGTTTTGTTTTGGATGGAAAATGTTTGTGCCATTTAAAGATCTGGTGGAACTGTCCAGTGGAGAAGAATCAGTTGTACATATTGGAAAGATGAGGGATGGATGAGGGTAAGGGTGGTTCAAAGCAAAGGGTATTAGCCTTATTCACCAGGAGGGCATTTCCAACCTCTGGCTGCTCATGTCATTACGTTTCTATTTATACATTTGATTTGTATCTTTCAAAAAATCCCCTTGAGAACCATGACTATGAGCCCCTGTATTTCTGCTGATTACTTGGCACGATGCTTTGTACACTGTAGGTATTCAATAAGTGTGCTGCTATGGCAGTAGATGATGACAGCGATGACAAAAATAAGGATAAGAAGAGTATATCCATTTGTTCAGATATGATATGCATCTTAAAGCAAGATGATTACAAAGAGGTGGACAGAGAATTCTCTTTGAATAAACCGATATTTTTTCATTGTCTAGTTTTATCTATACAGTTTATGCATTTGAAGATGGGATGGGGAGGTCAGGGCAGTGACCAAAATGGGACATCCCAAGTTAGGCAACTAAGAGATGATGCAATTCTCTATTTGATCCCTTATCCAGGACTAAGACATAGCCCTTTCTTACCCTTCAAAGTGATTGCACAATTCAGAAAAAACAAGTTCAGAAAACTTGTCCAGGGTCACATTGCTGTGGGCAGAAGCAAGCCTAGCGTCCAGGTCCACGTCTCTTTCCCCAGCCGCTCTGTAGCCCGTCTGCCTCCACTGACCATGTGTTCCAGATGGACTGCACATGCTGGGGTGTGAACATGCCAGGCTTGGAAATTCAAAATGTGTGTTTGATCAATGAAAGAGAGGGCTTGGTCCTTGGTGAAAATGCAGTTTCCCTTGGACTTGTCTATCCAGACATATTTGTATTATGATGACAATTTGTAATTACATGGAGTCTTTCAACCTCAAAGACTTTCAGATTATAAATATGCTAGTGCCTTCTGTTTGGTTTCCTGGGTCATTCTGGAAGCCCAAGTATCATGGAGGGGGCTCGTTGTTGGACACCCACTGCTGGAGAGTGGATAGAAAACCCAAAGTAGAGGAAGAAAACTCTGCAGTAAAAAATATTTATATCATTAATGTTTGGATTTATTGTCACAGACATCTCAGATCATAACATTTCAAGCAGCAATATTCTACACAGTTTGATTACAGATTGCAGTTAATTTTTTCCTCGTCTTTTCTTTAAGTCAGTGATATTACAATAAAGTGAAAAATGAGAAGGGAGTGTTTGGTATTTTTTCTGGGTTAACTGAATCTAACAGCATCTCTCATTTTGTTAACCCTTTCTTTCCTACTAACTTGGCACTCTTTGGCTTTTTCGTTTTAAAATCTAGTAAGGATGATTTATGGGAAGGGCACAGCAGTGTGAGACAACATGCTTTTTCTGCAGAAGATGCTGTTGCTGGTCTCCATGGATCCCCCCCACCCAGCTCTGAGTTCACCTGCGGCTGAAGCTTCCCGCCCCTGAGCACCTAGACCCCCTGCTCTTCTCTGCCTGAGACCTTTCTGTGGCTCCAATGGAGCAACTCAGCCCTCCCAGAGCAGGGCAGAAGTTCCACAGGCTTAATATTTTCAGCAGAAATCCTCAACCATAAGCCAGTGGAGTCCGTGGATAAGTACCCCAGGCTTCCCATCTCTGGTTTACACATTATGTCAATAAATGGTTCCTTACAGGGTCCTGGTGGGACTAAGGCCCAATTTGCCTACACAAGTGACCTGTGGCTTTTCTCTCTTCCCTTCTCACTTTCCTCACCCCTCATGTGTGTTTTCCAGACTCACCTGGTGAGTAAGTTACCTGCACATAGTCCTCATCTCAGCATCTGCTTTTGTGTGGTTCTCACATGAAGATACTTCCTAAGTCAATGCTTTTTAAATTGTCTATCATTAATTCTATTTAGTGGGCCAAACCAGCATTTCAAACAATAGAAAATATCATTTGTCTCATAATTAGTAAGTATAGAAACTGTATCATAAACCCTTTGCTTTAGTTATATAATGAATGTCTATGGGTCATGATAAACATTTATTTTTTTCCTGTGGGTTATGGTCAAAAGAGTTTGGAGATCATAGTTCTAAATGCTTCTGACATTCTGCTTATTGAAACTCAATATAATTTCAACATGGGAAATGAGACCAGAGGGAAGAAGCAAACAGCAGCATCTGAGATTGGAAGTGGTATTTCCCATAGGATAAAGGAGTGAGAAGAGCCCAGGACTGGAGGCACAGCGCCCAGATGCCAGCCTCAGCTTTGCAGCAGACTTGCTGTGTGACATGTGGCAGGTCATGTGTCCTAGAGCGTCCTTTGCCACATTTCTAAAATGAGAGGCTCAACTAGGTGATCTTTGGTGTTCTCACCAGTTCTGATGCCCTGGGCGTACCGTCCATTCCCAAAGTGTTGGCAGATGGGTGTACCCACTCGGGTCGCAGGCTTTAAGTCCTAGCCTCAAGAGTGGCTCAGAGCGCCGGGAACCTGCCCCGCTGGACTCAGGGGGAGAGCAGGGAAGCAGACATTCACGGGCGTGCCCATTCTTGTCACTGGCTTGGGAGAGAACATCTGCCTTGTCACCTGAGGGGGACCCACAGGGACGCTGCATTGCCTGAGGGCTCACAGCTGGGGAGAAGCTCCCAGGCGAGCAGGTGGTGGGAGTGGAGGTTGAGGAGGGCATCGAGGGGGTGCCAGTGAGTAGCGCAGGGGCCGGCCCATGGGTTTACTCTCTGCCCTTGGCAAAAGTAATGCTGCTTTAAAGGAATGGGGCACAGTGGAGGGGCACCCCTGGGAAAACACAGAGGATGTGGAAAGCACAGTGCTCCCTGAGTTTAGGGTCTTGGTGAATATTTTTTCCACCATTGCCCCAGTTCCTATCCTCCACACACCTGGCCTGGCGGCACCTGCCTTTCCACACATCAGTTCTTGAGCTGGAGTACCCTGCGATCCTTCCCCTTCTCTTCATTTTATGCCCTTCTCTTCTTATATATCCTGTTCACAACTCCACTCCTCTGTGATATTTCTTTTATGTTCCCTTCTTTATACTGTGATTCCAGACATCAGCGAGACAGAGTAGCTGGGCACACCAGTTTTATTTGCTCTCGTGCTTAGTAGTCAATCCTTCTTTTCTATTAGATGACTTTAAGAAAATAGAATAGAGCACCAAATCATTCTTTAAAGTGGAGATCCTCAAACGTTTTAAACAGGGGGCCAGTTCACTGTCCTTCAGACTGTTGGAGGGCCGTTGGAGAGTGCGGTGCACATTCCACACGTGTGCACTGTGGGCCCTAGACGGGTAGGCTGCTAAGCAGGACAGGCAGTGGCGGCAAAAGCACCTGGTGGGCCGGATAAATGTCCTCGGCGGTCCGCAAGTGGCCTGTGGGCCGTAGTTTGAGGACCCCTGCTTTAAAGGATGCAAAATAAGATGTGGTTTCAAGTAAGAAGAATCCAAGGCAAAAAAAACTTAACAAAAATGAATGCCAATAGAAAGCATCAAGATAACCCTGCGAGAAGCAAAAACAGGCACTAATAGAGCAATCACAGTAGCTAATACATGTTGAGTGGTTACTGTATGCTAGGCACTCTTGCAAGAGCTTCACATGCATGGACACACCCAATTTTAAAACCTACATAGATGCTGTTTGTATCTTTATTTGTAGGTGAGGAGAGCGAGGCACGGGGAGGTCGAGCGACTAGCCTGCAGATGTCCAGTGGCGATGCTGAGATGACAGTGCAGGGCCTGTGCTCTCTGGCTGCAGAGCCTGTGCTCGTAACCAGAGCACTGTGAAATCCCTCATACCTGTGGGATGGGAAGGTCAGAGAGCACTTGGAGGAGGATGGAGCATTAGAAACTGACCATGGAGGAATAGGTAGGAGCTGCACATTTGGAAATAGAGGGCAGGGCGTTTCAGCTAGAGGGTGGGAGCACATGGGTGCCAGCACATCTGCAAGGATCATATGATCTAGTACTAGGCTGTCTGTTTCTTCAATATGACTTCTATATAAATTCGATCATGTTTTACATTTGATTTTCATAGTTTTTCTTTTTCTTTCTTTCTTCAAGATGTTCAGCTACGAAATGCAAGAGTTTGGGAATATTTGACCAAGGGCAGGGAAGACCACTCTATTCTGGGAATGCAAGACTTCTTCCTTTGACCTACTTCCAGTAGAAACCCCCACGAAGATCCTATCTTCCATCTCTCTACTGAAACCC